GTCTGAATAGTCTACATAAAAGTACAATTGCCAAGCATAAGAAACAAACACTGAGCCGGTGTGTGGCATGTAGATAAGCTTAGCAGTTGGGAGGGAGAGGCAGGGTGGTCACATGTTCAGCCTGGCTTCATAGTGAGTTCTGAGCCAGCCTGACCTACCTAGCAACAACACACTCAATGAAAGCAAACCAAAGAGCCAACACTGGAACCCTTATGTGCTCTCCCCCCTGTGCTCAATTGTTTCCATTTCACCTGCTGTCTATGCATAACCCCTCCTCTGGGGTCCAGTCCCAAATGAGAATTTACGTGTAATTTTAATATTTTCTCTAACTCAGACAGGCCATTATTCTTCTACCATCTCCTCTTCATCTTCTTCCTGTTTGTTTTCTCTCATGAGCTCATAGTTTTTGAAGAACTGTTTTGTAGAGTGTTCCAGATTTTGCCTTGTGTACTTGAGTTCAGGTTATGTGGTTTTGGGCAGTATTACTGCAGACATGATGCTGTGTCCTTCCTGCTGCATGAGTCACAGTGGTTCTCTTGGTGTTAATTATCTCTCAATTAAGGTGGTGCCTATAATGATCTCCTTGGAAAAGACACTGTTTATCTGTTGAGTAACGATCATATGGAGAGATATTCTGAGACCACATGTGTGTTTTTATTTCTCATTACACTTTCGCTTAGTTAGTGATGGTTTTTGTAGGCAGTGACTATTAATTACCATGGGGCTGGCCAGATAGTGTTGATGGGAAGGGGTGGTGCTGGGGATGGGACCAGGACTTCGTTCCTTCAAGGCCTGTGCTCTCATCACTGAGCTATGTCTCTAACCCTTTCTCAATTCTTAATTTTGAGATACTCCTGTGTTTACTGCTCTAGTTAGCAGTGTGAACCCGGGAGAACAGGGCCTAAAAATGAGGTAGACTAGAGTCTCATGCAATAACCAACTTTATTCAGAGAATCAGACAGTTTATACTCTGAAGATTAAGATGAGTCACTGAATAAGGTATACAATCACAAGGACAAACCGCTTGTGGCAAAAACATGGTTTTTAATAGAGGCATATGAATAATAACAGCTGAAGTAAACTCCCTCCTATCTGCTATACCTGGGAGAAGCACAAAAACACACTCCAAGAGCAGTTCTGTGTTTTGAAGAAACTGAGGTCACAAAACTCTTTCTTGTCTTGTTTTCTTTGCATTTTCTCACAGCACTCAGAATTCTCCTTGCTTGACTCCATTCTTGGACTGTGTTTCAACAGCCCTGTTGCCTGGGCAGGCTTTGAACATGTACGACCTCTTTCCTTAACTTCCCAACTAGTTGGAGTTACAGGTGTGTACCACCATGTCTCTTTTGTTTGGTTAGCTTTTTGAGATAGGCCCTCACTGTGTAACCTTGTTTGGCTTAGAACTCACTGTGTAGACCAGGCTGGTCTTGAACTCACAGAGATCCACTTGTGTCTGCTGCCTCAGTGCCAGGATAAATGGCATGCGCCATCATGACCATCTATCATTATGTTGTTAAAAAAGTGTTCCAGTGACCCCATTTCCTCCTAACTCTGTGTCTTCTTCCTCTGCCCCTTGTGGTGGGCCTCTTCTCTATGGGAGCTCTTCTGCGCAGCCTGTACCATTTCCTCCACTACCCAGCTTGTATCCCTAACTATCTGATACACTTGATCTTTCTTCTAGTGTTTGTTGTTCATGGAAAGTGATCCTCACCAAGACTAATTTTTGACCTCTGTCTTTTCAAGCCTCCAAATTAGTTTGTTCTGACTTCACTTGCCTTAGGTTCCTGTATCCCCTTTTTCTTGAGTTGTCTACTGCTCTAGCTAAGATGTCAAGTACTATATTGAATAGGTATGGAGAGAGTGGACAGCCTTGTTTTTTCCTGGTTTTAGTGAAAATGCTTTGGGACTTGTCCCAGGTGCATCACCTTTTCAGAGAAGCCTGGCACAGGCAGAAATAAGGAGCCCATGTGCTTTCCTAGTTTTCTTCTTTTTTTAATTATTCCCACCATAATACCTGATTCTTTATCCAACCTGTACTTATTGGTTACCCATTGTATAGCAGAAAGCATCGTAGGCGTGGAAGAAAGCAGGATGGTGGAGGTCTTTAGTTTTAAGGAGTACATTTCACAGGGGGAAAAAGAAAAAAAAAACAAGTCATATCATTTGGGGCTGTGGTAAGTGGCACTAAGATAAAGTGAAGTCAGGTGACAGGATAGTGTGAGGACACATGTTTGCATGTGTGGCAGGCAGGGACAGCTGTGGTACATTGATGAGGTGTGTATGAGTTGACACTTCATGAGGAGAATGATCCAGCCTTGCACATGTCTGAAAGAGATGCTTCCTGGGCAGAGGCCACAGCAGCTCAGGGAATCAGGCCAGCAAGGTAAGAGAATGGCAGACAGGGAGAGGAGGACTTGGGGAGGACATAGATAGGGGAGGTGGGCGGGGTCAGAGCAGATAGGACCTTAATAGATCTGTCAGTGAGACTTTAGTAGCTTTTCTTTGTGTTGCTGGGGAATCAAACCTAGGGTCTTGCCCATGCTGGGCAGGCACTTGCCTGCTGAGCACAGACCCAACCAATACTGGATAAGAGAGGGAGGCTCCATGGTTTGATTTATGCCTTCAGTTCATCACTGGCCTATGAGAATTACGAAGGGACTGGACTGAGAGCAGAGCAGGAGGAGCTGTGGCTGCATGTACTAAGGTGTTGTTAGTGTGAGTTACTATATAGCTGGTGTAATTGAGAGAAGTGGAATGGCCAGAGAGGTGTTTGAAGGCAGGCCACCAGGACTCGTCAGTAGAGTGCTAGATGTGCTAGGTTTATGGAAGTGTGGGTTCAAGCACAAAGGCCTCAGCAGTTCTCTCAAGTACTGGGTGGGTGGTGGTGCCACATTTGTGGACATCTCGATGACTTGAGTGGTGATGAAATGTCCTGTCGGAAGGAATCAAGAGTAAAGTTGAATGTTCCTTTTAAGACCCCAGAGTGTGTCTGACAAGAAGGGATTTGGGGATGTGACTCTGAAGGTCAGAGATGCAGCCATATCTGGGGACCCATAAACTTATTCATTGTCTTAGTGCTGGGTTGTAGCTCAGTTGGTGAATGTGTGCACAGAGCCATGGGTTGATCTTCAGCACCACATAAACCTGATGTAATGGGGCACACCTGATTTAGAGGTAAGAGGATGATGTGCTCAAGGTTAACTTCAGGTATACAGTGAGTTCCAAGCCAGCCTGTGCTATGAGAGACTTATCTTACAAACAGCAAAGAACACCCCCACCCCCACATCGATTCATTGTCTTATAAAGTCAGCTAGAGTTGGAGAACAGATAAAGAGAGAAGAGAGCCAAGGTGGGCCTTGGGCACTGCAGAGATCAAGGTCTGGTAGTGGAAGAGAGGTGTGAAGAGGAAAGGGAGTCACAGAAGACAGAATCATTCCTCCCAGGGAGGATCATTTCTGGGAGGAGGGAGACCAACGGTGGTGTGCTTCGTAAAGCTCATTCATTGAAGGTACAACCGTAGAGGGGACCGTAAACTTGACTCTGGTAGTCCCATGGGGATGGTGTAGCTAGAACATTTGGATGGCAGGGGATGGAACTTAGCTGTCTTTAGGCTGTGTGCTTAGTCCACTCTTAGGAGTTAGCAGGTAGTAGATAGTAAATGTTGGCATGTAGGTTTAAATTTTACAACATGGTTTAACAAGTAAAGAACTGTTTTACCCTTATTATTCTTATTTATGTGTGGTGTGCGTGCCTGCACGAATGTATGTGTATCATGTGTGTGTAGGAGCCTGCAGAGGCCAGAAGAGGATATCAAGCTCCTTGAACCACAGCTACAGGTGTTTGTGAGCTGCCTAATGTGGGTGCTGGGAACTGAACCCCGGTTCTCTATTGTAGTGTGAGCTCTTTCAATTTCTGGATCATCCTTCCAGTCCCACCAGAGTGCTTTTGAGCTTTGCTACCAGTTTTATTATTATTATTATTTTTTTATCAGCTCAAGGAATGTTCTCCTGTGAATTATAACTTAAAAAAAAAAGAAGCCCATGGTGAGAAAGGCCATTCTGACTTGGCAGAAGTTCATAGTAGCCACATGCCACTATGATGTGCGGTAAGGGCTGAGCTGAGGTTTCAGGCTATGGCTCTGCTGGTGTTTCCTTCTGGAGGTGTGTGCCCTAACCCCCACTGCAGTTCCTCCCCTATCAGGCATGGGCGATATCAGCAGATCTCTCCAGGATTTCTGTGAGCAGCAGGTGGACCGAGGCTCATCAAAGTGTTATGTTTGAAGTGACCCTCTGTTAAGTGCTAGTTTTGTAAAAATGATGGGATTAGCTGTCTCATTATTTGACTTTGAAGCCACTTCGGTCAGAGCATCACAAGATTCCTGTTGACACAGTGGTGTGTGAATGGTGACAAGCTTCAGGGAGGATGTGGCACTCACTGTGAAGTGCGGGGCTTCTCGAGAAACAGAGGAAATTAATTTCTTTGGCTTCATTCTTTTATCTTCTCCAGATAAATAAAACTGTTCTCTTAGATCCGAATGATAGACTCTGTCCTGATTAGCTATTAATGTCAACCCCTGGGAAGAGGGAACCACAATTGAAGAATTGCTTCCATCAGATTGGTCTGTGGCCATGTCTGTGAGAGGTTGTCTTGATTCATGTAGGAGGAGCCAGGCCACAAGTGGTGGAGCCATCTCTACCTAGGCTGTATAAGAAAGCCACTGAGCATGAGCCAGTGAGTGAGCCAGGAAGCAGTGTTCCTCCATGGCTTCTGCTCGAGGTCCCGCTCTGACTTAGTGATGAACTATGACTTGGAAGTATGAGCTAAAATAAACCCCTTTCTCTACCAAGTGGCATTTACGACAGTAGCAGGGCCCAGCCTACAACAGGGTCCCTGGCCTCAGATCTGGCAAGGGTCTGTTGTTCTGGGTGTACAGGAAAGACTGCACGCCTGTGTGTATGCACTGATTTCTGTCTGACAACCTGCTTTGTGTTTACCTGTAGGGTAAAAACCATGGCAAGAAACTCCGAAATTATTATGCGGCTAACAGCTGTCCTCCTCCAACCAGGATGAGCACCGTGGCAGAGCCTGTAGCCACACCCCTTGTTCCTGTCCCTCCACAGGTGAGGCAGAGTAGTATGAAGAGACTGTCACATACACATGGTCACAGGTTCTGTGCCTGTGTCTGTCAGGGCCAGTCTGAGCAACTCCCTGAAAGGTTCTTGGTACTCTTTAGTCCTTGAGCTGTGTCTGCTAAGACTTTGAACCCTGAGATCTCTCCTTGAATTTGGCCGTGATGTGGGAGATGATGGAAAAATAGTGTTATGTCTATTTTTATGTCTTTCACGATTCTAGGTTAAATGATTGTGATATCTGGGTTTTGCCCTGGGGGCTGAAGATGGTGGATATAAAGGCTGGAGAGATGGCTCAGTGGTTAAGAGCACTTAGTGTTTATGCAAAGGGACCTGGGTTCTGTTCCAAGCACCCACATGGTAGTTCACAGCTGTCTGTAACTCCAGTTCTTCATCTGATTTCTGAGGGCATCAGGTCCATGTGATACACATAATATATGTAGACGACAAACTCACATGTATAAAGTAAATCTAAAAATTCCACTAAAATATTATTTATCATTGTTGCTATTGATGCTGTCTTAAGTCCTGCACACTAGATAAGTTTATGATTGGCTTTGTTCTAGTCCTGTGAGCTGGCCTCATTTAGTATTTGCCAAGGAAGTGTTGGCCTTATTATTCAAAGCTTGGTCCATGGACCAACAGCTTGGGCCTCATGGGGGCTTTATTAGAGGCCTGGAAAAGCTAAGTAACTTTCCATGATGTTGCATATTTGAAATGTTGCAGAGTGAAAAAAAAATTGTGTCATCTTAGCCTGGTTTTCCCAACTACCAAGGTATAAATGTTACTTTCCTGAGTGTTTTTCTGCTTAAAATGTGTGTAGGTGCCCCTGCTGAGCCTCCTCCTCAGACTTATAGGAAATGAGATACCTTAAAAATGGCAGCAGGGGCTTTCCAGCTGAGTGGTTTTCACATCATGAGTTCCTTCAGGATGGATACTCTAGAGTTAGGTAGCTGTCCCCTTCCTCCTTGGAAAACAGCCTGGCCCACCCTGTTTGCTTAACACAAACCTGTGAAATACGAAAATGTCCTGTTGTCCCCAAGAATCTTCTCTTCCAGGTCAGACAGTTTGGGGAGTGCTTTTTTTTTTTTTTTTTTTTTTTTGGTTTTTCTAGACAGGGTTTCTCTGTGTAGCTTTGGAGCAGACAGCGCTTTTTAAAGAACTGTTCTAGATAAGAAGATGTGGTCTCCACAATCGTAACCATAGATTCACTTCTAGCCAAAATTTGCTGTGTAATTTTTGTTGACCCAATGGAATTTAATCCTGATGGTGTTTGGTTTCTTTTAACTTGTTGTCTGGCTTCCCTAGTTTTTTTTCCCCTGAGTATACAGCCATAGGTGGTTTGGGGAGTTTGTAGGACTGGAACTTTCAAAACTTTGCAGCCGTGGATCTCGGTGGGCTGCTAGGTGCACAGTTGGTCCTCAGTAGGTGCTTATTGGTGAATTTTGAGCAGACTTCCCTCTCTGGGAAGATCTTTGCCTCTTGCCCTCAATGTCCACACTTTGGAAACATTTCTTCAATGACTATAGCATCACACTAGTTGGTGTTTTGGTTCATAGGTAATTGTAATTCAAAATGGGACAAAGGGTCTCCCAGTGTCTTCCCCTGGAACTGCTTTTTTTTTTTTTTTTTTTTTTTTTTAAATAAAGCCTGCAGCCTTGTCCTAGGCTTTGGTTGTTTCTCAGAAAGACCTTGGGCGAGTGGGAAGGTGTAACTGTGCTTCTGTGTCTTTGCTGGCAGGTGGGCTCCTGCAAGCCAGGGGGCAGAGTGATCCTGGCCACAGAGAACGACTACTGTAAGCTGTGTGATGCCTCCTTCAGCTCCCCTGCGGTGGCACAGGCTCACTACCAGGGGAAGAACCATGCCAAGAGACTTCGTCTGGCTGAAGCTCAGAGTAACTCGTTCTCGTAGGTATTGCCATTGCCTCGGAGGCTGGATTGTTATGTGAAAGCAACTGTGTTTAAAGGAGCAAATGAAAGGGAGCCTTGTTCAGATGTCTCACTCATTTCAAATTCCTTTTCTCCAGGGATTCCGCTGCCGAGGCAGGGCAAAGGCGGACCCGGAAAGAAGGGAGTGAATTTAAGATGGTGGCCACCAGGAGAAATATGCACACAGTCCAGAACAATTCAGGTATCCTGCATGTTCCCATGTGCCTCACAAGTGTACACAAATCTGCAAATGATGGCAGTAGATAGCCCCAAGAGATTAGGTTGGTTGTTGTTTTACTGAATGGCTCTTCTGACTGTTGAAGAGGCTGTCTTTCTGACTGTTGAGGAGACCGTCTTTCTGGTATTCTTTATTTCATATTCAGTGTACTATTTATCTTGGTTTTAAATCATAATGTTTTATAATTCCTTATGGTTCCACTTATAAATCCTTATTTTTAAATATTATGTAAAGCACAGTGGAAAATGAGCTTTTTGAGTGCTGGGAAGATGGAGTGGTCATGCAGGCATGAGGACCTGCGTTTGATCCCAAGCCCTTGTAGGAAAGCCAGGCACAGCAGTTCACACTTATAGGAAAGTCAGGCACAGCAGTTCACACTTATAGGAAAGCCAGGCACAGCAGTTCACACTTATAGCCTCAGGTAAGGTTGGCAGGTCTCTGGAGCTCACTGGCCAAACAGCTTTGCTGAATCATCAAGCTTCAGGTTCAGTGAGATTCTGTCTCAAAATATAAGGCGGAGAGAGATTGAGGAAGACATTTGACATGTCCACACCGTGTTCAGTTTTCATTTATTGGGGAAAGTGTAAAACAGCCGTGATTTTTAACCAGGTAGTAAATGACAGTTATCTATAAAGTTCTTGTGATGTGTACATTCAGTGGAGAGCCATGGGTTTATGGAAGTGTTCTGTGTTCATCCTAGTCTGGGCAACCACAGCCTCCAACACTCTGCATGCCAGCAGAGGCTGTTTGCATAAACAGTAAAACAAAAACAAGTTTCACTGAATAACAAGAGACAGCTAGTGAAAATACAGAAACAGAAAAACCTGTGGTTTGATGAATGCGATCTCAACGCATTGCTAGTTATGACCAAAGTCAACTAAAAGACAAAGATGGTCAGGCCGGATGTCAAAAGCTAGCTTTGATGAAGGAGCCTCTCACAGCTGTGTTAATGTCAAGGCAAATGCTTTATAGGATTCCAGGAGCAGAGTAATAAAAATACATACTGGAGTGAAGGGTCTCACTATGTTGCTCACACTGACTTCAAATTTGGTACAATCTTTCTGCCTCAGGTTCCCAAGTGCTAAATTACAGGCACAAGCCACTATGCTTGGCTACAGTCTTTAAACATTGTATTTATTTTTAAGAGCCATAAGCTTTTAGAACCAGGACTTATCTCTATAGTAAGCACCATGATACTCGTCAGAGAATCATTTTATGTTTATAGATTGAACTTGTAAATACATGTAATTTTTAAAAAAGTCCATTCATCACTCCTTTATTTAAAGTTAGAGTCTGAATTGGAATTTAGAGTTATAATGTATTATGATAAGAACTCGTGGATTTTCTTTACCAAGTGGGCTTTCTGAGTATTTGCATGCATGAGAGAGAGAGAGAGAGAGAGAGAGAGAGAGAGAGAAAATGAGTTTGGGGCTATCTTTCTCTGTTGCTTCCCACCTTATTTTTTGAGCTCACTGATTGACTAGGCTAGCTTGCAGGTGAGTCCCTGGGATCCCCCTGGCTTTGCCTTACCAGCACTGGGGTTACAGGCACAGACCACAGTGCCTGGCTTTTATGTGGGTGCTGGAGATCTGAACTCAGACCCTCGAGCTATCTTGCAGCCTTGACTTTTTTACTTCTGCCTCTTGCTTCATCAGGTCCTTACTTCAATGCCCGCTCTCGGCAGAGGATTCCACGAGACCTTGCCATGTGCGTCACTCCTAGTGGGCAGTTTTACTGTTCCATGTGTAACGTGGGCGCTGGGGAAGAAGTGGAGTTCCGGCAGCATCTGGAGAGCAAGCAGCACAAGAGCAAGGTGTCTGAGCAGCGGTACAGGAGTGAGATGGAGAACCTGGGCTATGTACAGTGATGCCTGTGCTCGTGGAGAAGCTGGGCCTGCCTGTTGTTTGCCTTCTGTCAACCTGCCTTGCTTTGTGGTCCCCTTGATACATACATTCCTCATCCCTTTGCTTAATAACCCGCAGTGGTGCCATGAGTCGTCATGTTAAGTTGGGCTGGGGGAGGGAGCTGTGCTTCTTAGGTCATGATGCTGTCTTGGGCCAACTGTGTCAAATGGCTTACAGTGTGTGACCCACCTGCCCCGTCAGAAGGAACTTCTTATCCTGATCAAGTTTTGTTTAACCAAGAGTAGCCTGACCGTTTAGAGATACGATAATTTAAAAACGGCATCTACTTTTGCAGTTTTAGTTTTATGCATCTTAGATGAAGACTTGATTTGCGTTTGTTCTTCAGAGTATTGCGAACAGAGGTAAACTGAGACTCCCGTTTCCGGATGCTCCTGGGGAACCATCACCACAGTGCGGTGTCACTTCAGTATGATGTGCTATTATGGCGTGTGCTTGGGTCTCTCAGCAACAGTTTGTTCCCTGTGGCATGTCTCTCTCTAATTCACATGCAGGGTTTTTTTGTTTTGTTTTGTTTTGTTTTTTAACCCAGACGCTTCCAGAATTCTTATGTTCTTTTGAAGATGTAACTTCATCTCCAGTTGAAAATTGTACACATTTAATCCCCACCTCTTCCCTCCTATTTGGATCAGCTTGTCTGTTTGACTATGTAATGAGTTGAAGATGGATATTCTTTTAGAAAATATATTTTCAGATGATTCAAGGAAATGCCTGCATGTTTTTGAGATTCAATTTGGAATTATATTTTCACTGATAATTACGTGAACTCATGGGATAGTCATTGTCTTGTGGCTTTTTGATGATTGTATCCTGATACTGCCCTTGCAGGTGATGGGCACTCCTGGAAAATACTGCTCTCTATTTCTTATGTGGAAAGTTTGCTTTTTTAAAAGCTGATCAAGTTTCAGTGTCATTTCCAGTAGAAGAACACACAGACATTGTGTTTTCTTCTTTGCCTCCTTGAAGAGACTGAAAACACAGATGGCTTTGGTGTCCAATGGTTCTAATGGGATTATTATTTTTTAAATGAAAAGCCATAGTGTATGTCTAGATTGACTACTGGAGTATTATGTGAACTCGTGTTCACAGTGTTTTCTCCATTTTCTCCTTTGCCTCATGTGATAAGAGCAGAATGCCCATGCTTCTCGGGAAGCATGCTTCTGTTGAAGGTCTGTAGCAAGCAGTATTTTGCACTATGTCAAATGCACATTTTATTATTCATGTCACCACTGGAAACCTCTGTGTAGCCTCGAATTCTCCAGGCAAACAGATGGAGAGCAAGGAAGCGCTCACAACTCTTCCTTTCCATTCTTGCTTCAGAACAGTTGAAACTCACAATTAAAGGTTAATTTTATGATTAGCTTCTAGAACTGTACCCAGTTACTTTTCCTGTTGAAATGCTGGTTTCTTGAAAAGTAGAACTATTTGGTTAAGCATTTCCCCCTCAGAAACAGAAGAGCAGTGTTCACTTGAGATTTGATCTCCGTTTGCAACTCCTCATACCGGAATTCCTTCTGTGGCCATCTACAGAGTTAGTTGGTATAGGGAAATTTAGGACATATCTTGTTAGCTCTTTGGTTTCTCATTTTGCTGCTAAATATAATTCTTTGGTAGACTTAAATATTGCCGGCCACTTGGTTCTGTGATTGTTTAACAGTCTCATTTGCTCTCTCTGCAGGGTTGTGTCTGTGCATCTCTGTGCTGTGTCTGAAGATACATGATTCCCTCCCCCTAGTTTTGTGTGATACCCCAGAGAGAATTTCACCTCATCTTTATCTCAGAATAACACTGAAAGATTCTGAGTATAGATTTACATTTTATAAAAGTGACATTCATCTGCTTTAGTTTTTCCTCTGGGAATGAAGTCAAAGGTTATGCCCCCCACTCTCCTGTATGTTTTCCCACTTTCCTATGTGTTCTCCCACTCTCCTGTGTGTTTCCTCACTCTCTTGTACATCACCCCTCTCCTGTATGCCCCCCTCTCTCTTGTATGTCCCCCCATTCTCCTGTCTGTCCCCCCACTCTCCTGTATGTCCCCCAGCTCCCCTCACTTACCCACTCTCCTGTATGTTAAAAAAAAACAAAACAAAAAAAACTAAACAGTGGACTTAAGGGCTTGATGTGTTTTCAAGCCTCGTGAATTCAGGTTCTAGTCTCCCAGTGCCCTTAATGGATGTTAGGGACGCATAAGTGTGGTTTCTTTTAGAAAGAAATGTTAGATTTATAGTGTTATTTCTATATTCCTTTGCACTAAAAAGAGTGATGCATTTGTTCTATGACACTCCAGTGCCAGGTTGCCTACAATAACTCAACTTGTTTCTAAACTCTGGAAGTTGATAAAGTAATTGTGAAAGGGTCATTGTGAAAGGTTATGTGGATGTCTGAAACACTTGGAAGATCCCTGGGCTGAGATGGGATTGTCCAGTGGGTGGGGCAGAGGGTATCTTCTCACGAAATGAACTCTGTATGGAAATTGTCCCTTTTCTGACCAAGCTATGGTGGTGTCTGAGTCAGTTAACTGAGCTGTCTGTTGGTTCCATTTTGTGAATCCTTGTCCTGTTATGCCACATGCTGTAGGATCAGTCCCCTGCTCTCCAAGAATCCTGTATCTCATGATATGCCACAGTCATGGATGGACAGAAATCTGAACAAAGGAAACCTCAGTCCAGAATTAGGTAGATTTCAGCACTATCAATTATTTGTGGCACTGCTGTGTGTTCTTGTGACTGTGTCTCATTAGGAGGGCAATTGGAATACCCAGATCCAAGGCTGTGAGGAAGTGTCCAGTTTCTATCTGGATCCATATGCCTTCAGAGGGCATTAACTTTGGAGTCCAGCTACAGCCCATGTCCTTTGACCTATAAGATCTCACCCTGAGCAGAAGACTTTGCTGGTCTGGGTTGGTCTGTGTCCTGACATTTGTATATTCGAGCCTGTTGTTTTATGCTTGTCTGCTTGCCTCTTACAAACTAAATTCTGCTTTCTTTCACAACATTTGTCTTGGAAAAAACCTTCTAATCAACTCTTTCCCCCTTTAGTTCACTGTGAGCTTAGGAAGTCATCGAGGATGGAGGTGGAGAGCTTGTTCATGTCGTATGTTCTGAAGTGACTCTCCCACCTCACCCCACAGGGCTTTGTGTAGCCCTTGGTCTCCAGTCTGAATAAGGAGAAAAACGTTCTATATATATTTGTATACTAGATTAGGTCTTCCTGTGTAGATAGGATCTAACAGTTGACAGTGGGACTGAGGACTCTTCCATCCTGTGTTATCTGGGACTCTGAGAAGTGGCAGTCTAAGGAAAGTGAGCAGAACAAGTCTCGACAGACAGGTAATGTCCACACAGTGCTTTCTCTGTGGAGAAAGTCGAGAACAGCGGGTTTGGGGTGTAATCCACTTTGTTCTGTAAATGTCAGAATCTAGCTGGAAGTATTTGCTAGAGGTGAGGTGTGTGGCTAAGCAGTGGAGTATCGTTTAGAAGTGGGAAAATACTCTGTTGGTGTATGCAGAATTTTAATGTAGATATTTGAACAGGTGTTTAAAAAATTCTACCTTGCCCCTCACTTTAAGTCTCTCTTAGGAGTTTTATGTGTGATTTAAAAAAAATGCTTTGTTGCTCTTGTGTTTTGGGTGAGTAAGTCCCCCGTGAGCCGCCTTGTCAGTGTGCTGAGTGGACACTGTGTAAATAGCTTCTCATTTGACATTTATATGGATAGTATGTGGTGGCATTTCCTTCCCATTATCAATAGAGATTCTATGAACTCCCTTTCTACAAAAAAAAAAAAAAAAAAAAAAAAAAAGTCCTGGCTTATGGTCCCATGTGACCTTGTGTCCGTTAAGCCCAAATTATGAGTGCCTTTAGCAAGTGTTAGCATTTCACAGAGGGTAGAAATGACAGAATTTACTGCCATTAACCACAGTTCATAAAGTAGCTCAAAATAGTAAAGGTCCTTGTGAATTCCTGTTCTTTGTCTCCCCATCCCCCTTAGTACAATCTAAACTTACTATTGGGTAAAACTGCATTCTGAGCAGGAACCTGGGTGTCATGGCTGGCAGTAGTCACCTGGACAGGCTATATCCTGGTTGCTGTGGCTGGCAGTAGTCACCTGGTGGGAAGGGAGGCTATGTTCTGGTTGTTGTGGCTAGCATTTGGCCTGGATGGTTGTGTTGGATGATGCATTGGTTGAGATGTTGATGTTGGAAAAAAAACTTCCTGCTGATTGTGCTCCAACTTGGTTCTTCTGTAGAGAGGGGAGATTGTGTAACTGCAAATAAAGTGCATTGAGGGACTGCCTGGGACAGTAGCTCCGGGTCACACTGTACATCCACAGGGTCATCTCATGTGGATGGAGGGGCCTTTCCGAGCAAGCTTGAGGCCTTTGAAAACAACAGTTTCCTTACTTCGATTAACCAAAAACTTCAAATTTCCTGAGTCTTTACAATCTTTTGAACGTACGATTAAACTAATTTTGGGGTAGAAATAGCAATGCTTGCCTCAAGATTTTATTATGAAGAATTTCTGGTATTTGTGAAAGTGAAAAATGTTCGGCACATACCTAACTGTGTCTTCTTGTCAACCTTTCCCCACTTGTATTCCCACATTTCTTCCCATGAGCCCATCACTGTATTCATCTGTCTGCCCACCACGATTCATGTCTTAGCATCAGTTTCAGACATGACCATACTGTAGGTGTCATGCACTAGGATTTAACATTTAACTGTTAATACATTAGGAAAGCCTCATGTGTAGGTCATAACTTGAGCCAGTGAACACTCATAGTTCGCTCCTGTGGACTTCAGTCTTCCTTGTTTCTGTTCCTGAGTGTGCTTAGAGTTTCCAGCAAGTCTGCACCAGGTTACTGGCCCTAAAGATTACATTCATGACAGGACTTGCTGTGAACCTATGACTCTGTGACCACTTGCCTCCTGTCATGTACATAGCAGAGTCAACACTGAGACAACAGTCCTGTCCACTGAGGGGTGGGTGAGCCTTAGGGCAGTTTGCAGCCAGTCATGCTGAGGAAAACTGCCCTCTGTCTCCATCCTGTTCCCACCTCTGTGGACAGCTCTGCAGGGCTGAAGGCACTGGCTCCAGGTCAGGGAGACTGGATGGGCAGATGAAGCAGAGCTCAAATTTCAGTGTTTCTGGGTTGTAATCTTAGGCTTCCAATTAACTGGATGTTCCTTTTGGGCTCTTAGAAGGACAGCATTTATTTTTATGAATTAGAATTTTATTTTTTAGTATTTCACAATTCTTTTGACATAAAGATATTCTCATGGTCATTTGTTGTTGTTTTGTAAAGTTCCATCTAGCCCAGGCTAGTCTTAATTCTATCTACTATGTAGCCGAGGATGACCTTGAACTCCCAATCCTCCTGCCTCCACCTCTTGGTGCTGGGTTTACAGGCCTGTACCACCATGCCAGGCTATAATCGTAGTTAAGTCCAAAGCAATTGCTAAAATCTCACTGCACTGTTGAATACCAACTAATGCAGTGTCTGTCTGATTTCTTTTTTGTCTTTAGATGGCTTTCACGATCACTCTGTCAATGTAAGTAACCCCACCCTAGTGAAAATGGTGTTCGTGCACTCTCTACCTGATTCTTTTTTTCTTTTTTTAAGAAAACAACTTCATATGTCAAGATGAGTGATACTATCTTAGGGCAAAGCCCATACTTGGGAACAAACCTCTTGGAAGTGGCTGGTCATTGTTCTGCCTTTTTTGGTACCTGAATACCTGCCAAAGGTTCTGTAAGCCAGTGTGTCATTTTGTAAGTCTCATGGTGACTCTCTGCTCACCTGTGGTACCCAGTCAACTGCAGTGACTTGGTGGGGGTTTGGTGTGGCCTCTTTGAAATGCCTTACTGGATATGCCAGGCTCTGCTGTCAAGCATCCCAGCTGTCCACTGAGACCCACATGTCCTCTTTGGGATGTGTGCTCTTGATCCGGAAGCAAAGCTGTCCTCACTTTCAGTATCAAGGGTACATCTTAATGCAGTGGTTGTCTTAAGTTAGAAGTAGAAAGCTGAGAGAGTTTGGAACGCTTCACGTGATCACATGGCAAACTGTAAATGTGCTTTGCTATTTCACCAGAAAGAATGCAGCTAACAAGTGCCCGTCCAGACCAGGGAAGTGGGGCTGTGCTGTGTAAGGCTCTCCACTTGTCTCTCGGGGCTTGAAGGTCTGAGCAGGCTGCCAGGCATCGGGTCAGTCTCTGTTTGCAGACCTCCTGCTCGGGGGTTCCAGAGCTGACTGACACATTACTGAATTCAAACCAATCAACTGTGAATTGTGAAATTGAAATTGCTCTTTTAGTTTTATTTTCTTCCGCTTCTTAAATCTAGAAGTCTGAATGTTATTTACGCTTCTACTGCTTATGTTGACGGCTCATCTTGGCTGTGTATCCTCACGTATGTACTGATTCCTTCCTGAAAAAGGCTTGATGATACTGTAACAAGCTTTTTGTGTTCAGTTTAATAAAATGGTTTTTGAGTCTTGTCTCAAAAGTGTTTGGTTATGCGTTGGAGACCAAGGGTACTAAACAGTTAGCACGAAGGTGTTATACCCATAGTGAGGATGAAGTCTGAGTTTTCCATTCATGGTGGCATATGGTGTACTGCATTCTTTCCTAGGCTTAGAACACCTGAGTTCTCCAACTTGCTGTGGAATTGGCCTGACTGTCCACACTGCCGCCCGCCCCAGCTAGCCTCTCCCAAGCTAGCTAACTTGGGACTGTGGTGTATTCTGGTTTGCCGATAGCTTTTTTTTTTTTTAAATAAATTTTATTTAAATTAGAAACGATCTTATTTTACATATCAATCCCAGTTCCCTCCCATCCTCCCATGCTCTCCAGCCTGCCCCATCCCATCCCCCATCCACTCCTCAGGGAAAGTGAGACCTTCCATGAGGGATCATCAACATCTGTCAAGTCTTTGGGGCAGGGCCTAGGCCCTCCCCTGTGTATCTAGGCTAAGAGAGTATCCCTCCATGGGAAATGGGCTCCCAAAATCTGTTCTGCACTAGGAATACATCCTGGTTCCACTGCCAGAGGCTCCATAGACTGCCCTAGCTTCATCTATACCTTTTAATATCTATTTT